TCCCCCCCCCCTTTTTCCTTATAATTCCGTATTTGGGCTAAATTGAGGACCTTAAGGGGGCAATTATAGTCCCCTAGGGGCCAAAAAGTGAAGACTCCAGGCGCTGACCCGGGGGATCCGGGGGGGGGGGGGGGGGGGGGGTTATTTGTCTGTTTGGTGGGATATATGGGGCCTATTTATTTGGTTGTTTAACTGTTTGATTTGAGTGTATTTGGTCGGGCGGCAGCGCTGCCTCCAAGATCGAGATGAGAAGAAGGTCGTCGCCGCGGCGTGCCAGAAGGCGATTGACCAAGCCATCAGCAAAGGTGCAGCGGCTGAAGACGTCAGCGTCGTCGAGATCAACACGATTCCACTACAGAACGTAGATGACGGTGCCATGAGGATACAGATTCGAGCTGTCAGCAAGCTTGCCGTCCCGAAGGATGGGACGCTAGCCAACAGCGTCGTATACGCTGCGTCAGATGAAGAGAAAGAGGAGCAGACGGCCAAGACGAACATTTCCGATGCCCTTGACTCAACTTTCAGGCCATCTATCAAGGTTGACCTGGATGCCTACCGGCCTGAAGTCCGTAATGGCGCTTGGTACGTCTCGGAAGTCGACTTCGAACTGATTGCGACGGGCTGCGGCGTTCTTGGCACAGGTGGCGGTGGCCTTACTCGCCACGAGTTATTGAAGAGTCTTGATACATTGCGCAAGAGCGAACTTGGAAGGCTCCGCATCATCTCGCCCAAATCCGTAAAAGATGGCAACCTCATATATCTCGGCTCGTGGTATAGAATCTCAAGCGTCATCAACGAGAAGATTGCGTCAGGGGACGAAACTCCGGCTGGAATTGATGCCCTCATGAAGATCTTGAGCCAGGATGAGCCCGACGGCATCTTCACCGACGAGATGTAAGTTTAGCAAGGCTGACCCAATCTGCTGCTATATTGAGCACTAACTTCTGAACAGCGGCGGCGGCAACGGTATGAGCACATCTCCCACTACTGCTCACCTCACTATGACATTCCTACTATTGGTGGGGATGCCATGGGCCGGGCCTAGCCTACTATGTACCAAGGTGTGTCATGTTCTTCCACTTGGCAGCTCTGAACGTTCATACGAGCAACTTAGCCACGCTGAGCGTTTATGGGCACCCGCTGACCCCATGCACCCTCCCCGACGCTCGCGGCAACGTCAACATGGTCATGGTAGGCCCCTGTAGGTTGCATCATCCTGATCCATGTTAACAAATACAGAACACTGACACCCCTTTCCGCCTTAAGAAATTCCTCCGCACCGCCGCCGTCAAAGTAGGTCTCGGCTGTGCCGTCGCCGCTCGCCCCCTCCCTGGATCCGCAATCAAGGCTCACGGCGTCCCCAACACGCTGTCACAAGCCTAATACCTCGGCCGTGCTATTAAAAGATATTTGACGTGCGGCGTTTTGTGGGCGATGGCTACACCATGAGCAGCGTGCTCCTTCCCCCCTGGCCATCAAGAGCTGGACTCCTCCAATGTATCGTCGCCCGCCGCAATGCAGACCACATCTACTGTTCGAGATGGGCACATGCTCATCCCATTCCAGAATGAGTACCTCTATGCTGCCCTGACGGATAGTACTGGCTCCGAAGATGGACGCGAGGCCATCTGCACAGTGCCGGACCTGATCTCCATTCTTGGTCGAGACGGTGGGCTATCGGCTCTCAGGGTTTGCGTTCTGGTTTGCGTGTTTCGGTCATCGGACTGCCTGCTCACCCACTGTGGAAGATGGAGAAGGCCATGCCCGTTGGTGGACCTTCTGCATTCGGTCTCGACATGCCGTTTGTTGGATCAGGAGATTACGCAGGTGCCAAGATGATATAAGAAGAGTTCGAGACCGCATAAATCAAATATTGGAGGAAGTGCCCTCAGTTGTTCGGGGGGAGATCCCAGACCAGGTGTTGCTTTGTAGTTTCCTCGCGCGCTAAGAAAAGCATTTGCAGCTTATGAAGGAACTGCTCACAAGCAGTGAATTTGAGAAATGGTTTGTATTGTGAGGCCAAGTTGCTTACACACATCATACCACACAAGAAAACATTAAACATTACCCAGAGGGTCCATGCATCGGCAAATGATGCTCGTAGAGCGGAAGCATCATGTTCATATCGCTGAAGACGACCCATAACCAAAACAAGGGGCTTCTGTACGACGAACTGATAAATGGAAAAGTTGAGGCGAAAGAATGAGTTTTCGCACTAAAGGATAGTGAAGAAGAGTGGATCAGAACAACGCGTCCGCTGCGCGCAAGTGAAAGACGAAGAAATGGGTGGTGCATATAACCCAAAGTTATATGTCCCCCTTACATGCTTCTTAGTCCCGGTATCTATGGATGTCCCGCATGTGGTATATCAAGGAACCTCGCTTCAAGGACGATATGCAACCGGGGTGGCGACAACGCACTATCAAGGTGCCCACCCAAGGCTTCGGCACATAGGCTTCGAGTTCGGGGTGCTTCGCAGTATAGTGATCGATAAGAGCCTTTTCCCGAAGGTAGCCCTTGGCGCCGACCTTATCGCATCCTGAGACGGAACAGGGGAAAGAAGTCTCGTCGTGGACCTTTCTCATGTGTTCATTGAAGTCCTTCTGACTGTTGAAAGGTCGGTCTTGGTCCTGTTCTGCAGCTTCAAGAGCGTGAAAATGTTCGTCGCGATACCCGAAACATCCCGAGTGTGGGCACGTTACGGGAACGTCACAGATTTTCCTTCTAGACTGGCGAGATTTGGACCTTTCATCGGCATCGAACTTGTGGAAAGCTCGCATATGCTGACGCAGGTGATCCTTTCGCTTGAAGCCGTTTCTGCCGCGATGGCGCTTGCAGTATCGGCAAGGATGCTTCGGCATGTCTTGCGAATAGATGTCTTTGCGACGGTAGAGGACATCGAGACGAGAGAATGATTGGCCACAGGTACACTGAAAAGGCTGATGTTGTACAGTCAAGGCGTGATCGCCAAGACCGGTATCATTCTTAAAGTCAGACTGACATTGAGCACAGAAGAAGGGGCGAACCCCGGTGACTCTTCCATGGCCTTCAGCATGCGAACGGCGTTTGTGAGTTTCATACTGCACGTATCTCATGAACTTCTCATGACAAGCTGGGAAGTTGCATTTGTATGACATGTGTTCAGTCTGACGGGCATGCCAGTCGAGTATACCTTCCCAACTGAAATACTCGCTACACTCAGCGCATCGAAATCCTGCATCGGGCGGTGCGTTTACGGGACCCTCGTTGTCAGGCGGCGACATGGTTGAGAAGAAAGTTGCGGAGGACCGTCTGGTTTGAGCAGTGATGTCTTGCATGCTATATAACCCCGGATTGGACGGTGGCCGTGATTTGAGGCTGATCGGCCAACTGACACCCTTTTTGTTAGCATCTACTAAAAAAAAAAGCCTACCCATCTGCATGGCGTTCTGCGCCCATGCCAACCATGCCAGCCGAGAAAGAGGGCTGTCCAGTCATGGCCAAGTCGGTTGGGTGGTCGAATTCAGTGTAGCTGTTTTCGAGAAGGGCGGGATAGACGTGGCTGCCATTGTTTGGCTCCAAGAGGGCAGTGCCCTGCGTGAAGGTGTGTTGCACCAGAGGACCAGTTCCGTAGAAGTGATCCCCCGGGATGTCTGGGATATATGGCATCTCTGCGATGTCGACCCCGGCGAGGGAATTTCCCGTGTCATTGATGGGGCTGTAGCCATTGGCGCCCAAAGCCGAATCTCTCTGGGGCAAGTAGCTCGGCTCTGAGGGCAGGGCGAAGCTGGCGGTAGCCCCGTAGTCGAAGCTGTCCATAGGATCGAAGTAGGCTTGGGCGTCGTAAGGGTAGAAGCCCATAGGATCGAAATAGTCCTGGGCGTAGTCAGGGTGGAGGCTCTCCGCGTCGATGACCAAGGCCTCCCATTCGGTGTTGTTGGAAATGTAGTCAGACATGATGAACGGGCTGTAAAGCGGCGTGAAGCAGAAAGATGTGTAGGCGAGATTCTGATGTGCGATCGTGTTGAACGAACAGGAGAGAAACGAGCCTCCAGCTTCGTGGGCAACCGCCTAGCAATATGCCGGGGATGGTCAGAACACCCACACATCACCCGCCCTTGCTAAGCGGCGACGAATGCGGTGCAACCCCAGAAGGGCGAGAAACAAGTCTGTTCGGGGATGTCATGACGGTTGTCAAGTTTGGTGGCTGCTTGGGCACATCACTCTCGCTCTGTTTGTGTGCGCTTGGAGATGACGCCTTACTCGCGTTGCACGCCAAGGACCACCCTATTTGTGTTGTGTGCGTGCATGATTGCCGCCCTATTTTGGCTTGATGATGCCACGTAACGCCGCCCTTTTTCTCAGGACATGCGGGTGCTGCCACGCCAATTAGCGGCAGACCGCGCCCCCAGGTCGGTTGGGCATCAGTATCTGACGAGGAAGAGCCAAGGAGCACCCCATCACTCAGCAGGGACAACAAGGCCCCCCCTTTCTTCCACATCACTCCCGTAGTCCAGTCCATGCCCCTGTAGATGACAAGTTGAACCAGCATCCAAACATGCACATGCGGAAAAGGGCCAGCAGGCGGCCACTTGAATCAAAAACAGTGTTCATTTGCTATGCTTCAAAGGAATCCCACCCCCCACACCGCGCGCTCAAGCCAGCTTCTGGTGAATGGTCTGGATGTTGCAGAACGACTTGAGACCGTTGACGCCGAGCTCGCTGCCGACGCCGCTGAGCTTGTGGCCGCCAAAGGCGGCGTCGGGCCGCAGCTCGAGGTGCGTGTTGATCCACACGGTGCCGGCCTGGAGCTGCCTCGACACGCGGTCCGCCTGCGCCTGGTCCCTCGTCCAGACGGACGCGCCGAGACCCATTTCCGTGTTGTTGGCGCGGCGGATGACGTCCTCCTCGTCGGTCCACTGCAGCACGGGGAACACGGGGCCTGCATCTTGTCAGCTTGACCGGTTTTTTGGTTTTCTTTTTCATTTCTCGAGATGACGACAACAGCAAAACTCACCAAAGGGCTCCTCGACGACAATCTTGGCGTCGTCGGGCGGGTTGCTGACAATGACGGGGCTGATGAAGTAGCCCTTGTCCTGGGCGGCGGTGACCTTGACGTCGCCAAAGGCAACGTTGAGCTTCTCGGCCTCGATCGACGCGATCAGCGCCTTGACGCGCTCGTACTGCATGCTGTTCTGGACGGGGCCGAGCACCGTGTCGCTGGCGGAGCCGTCGCCGACGGTCATGGTCTTGGCAAAGGCGACCATGGCGTCGAGGAACTGCGGGTAGATGCTCGAGTGGACGTAGATGCGCTTGATGGCAATGCAGACCTGCGACGGCGTGAGACAGAGATCCGTGACCGCGTGCGGACGTGCAGCCGACTTACCTGACCAGAGTTGTAGAGGGCCAGCGTTGTGATCTAGGCGTGTCAGTGGGACGGTTCGTCATGGTTGTCCGTGGTGCACTCACCGCCGGCGCGACAGCCGCAACGTCAACGTCAGAGCAGATAATGGCCGCATCGTTGCCGCCCCTTTTTTTGTTCCTGTCAGTAATCTTTTCTCGGTCTTCGGAAGCCGAATGAACTCACAACTCCAGAGTGAGGCGCTTCAGCGTCTTGGCGCAGCTCTGCATGACGCGGATACCAGTCGGCGTCGAGCCCGTGAAGCTGACCTTCTGGATACCGGGGTGCGCCGTCAGCCAGGGGCCGAGGTTGTCGTCGCCGCTCAGGGCCTGCACGACACCGGGCGGGAAGAACTCCTGGGCGATCTCGGCGAGCTTGAGGCCGCAGTAGGGTGTGAACGGGCTAAGGCGTATTAGCGTGAAAGCTTGCTGACGGGTAATTTGACTACACACGAAGGCTTCAGGATGATGGCATTGCCGGTGACGAGGGCAGGGCCGAGCTTGAAGGTCGCTGAGCAGGAGGTCAGTATACTCATCTTCGGTACAGGACACTAGATGTACGGACCGAGAAGGATAGGGACTGGACGCCAGGTCAGCAAACGAGCACAAGACACTGTATCGCGGACGACAACTCACAGTTCCAGGGGACAATGCCCACGGAGACACCAATGGGGACATATCTCGTCACGATGCGGTTCTTGTCGCTGTCCTCGACAACCTCGTCACCGAACGGCAACTGAGCAACGCCCTTGAGCGTGCCAACAGCCTGCTGGACCTCAAACAGGGCCGCGGCGGTCTGGATGCTCGGTCAGCAAAGGGACGACAGAACTTTCAGAAACATGAGGACACCTACAGGCTTGCCCTGCTCCTTGGTGAGGAGGGCGGCAAACTCGTTCGCGAGCTCGGCCAGCTTGTCGGCATACTTGTTGACGGCCTCGCGGCGCTCCTCGAGCGACGCCTTGGCCCACGCAGCGGCTCCCCGCGCGGCGGCTTCAACGGCGGCGTCAACGTCCGCTGGGCTGGAGACGGGAACGGGAGCGAGGGGCTCAAGAGTGGCGGGGTTGATGCCTGTGCGCGTTGCCTCCGTCAACTTGCGCTCGCCGTCAACGACGTTGGCAAAGGTCTCAAAGTTCACCATGATGTCGGTAGTATGTGAGTGAGGATAGGAAATGCTAGGAAGGATAGCGTGCCTGTCTGCTGGAAGACAAGTCAAAAGAAATGTTCGGATGACGGCGCAAAGGGGCAATCTTTAGTATGGTCCCTCCAAGCAGGGTCTGGTGACCAGAGGACATTTATCTCCTACGCACTCGTCGTGAACATCGGACATAGCAGGCGCCCCTGAGATCAGCATCATCGGAGATTTGTTTTGAGCCGTGGCAATATGCCCCGCACTCCATTCCCCCGCATTCATGGCACGAGCTAGCATGGCACGAGCTAGCATGGCACGAGCTAGCATGGCATCTCTGGCACCATCGTGAAGAATCAGGATACTAGTGCCGAGGTAGCGGGCGATGATTACTGAATCAGGATAGGGCGAGTCAGGATCTTGGAGGGTGGCTCCCCGGGAGCAGATAATAAGGCATCACCTCTATGGATAGAGCTATGAAGGCCGCAGTCGAGGAGACATTGGACTTGTGAAGCCGTGTTGCGACATCAAGCTGTCAGAACCCTGTTTTTCTCTTCCAGACTTCAGACTCCCCCCACCTCCAAAATGGGCGAGTGGCAACAGCAGCGCAATCGTGCCGTCGTGTACCTGGAACCCGGCACCACCAAGACGGCAGTGGTCGAACTTCCCATTGCGGAACCGGGGCCTGGTGAGGTGCTTGTCAAACTGTGAGACATACCGAGGCTCCTCTCTTCTGGGCTGTGACGGATGGAGCCCGTTCCACTTGTTTTGGGGGGGCCATGTTGACTCTTTGTAGGCACTACTCCGGCGTCTGCCACACGGATGCCGCCTTTTGCTTGAACTCGTTCAGCACGGTGCCACCAACTGCCCAAGGTGTGTCAGGCCATTGATCCATTCCGTAACGTTTGATTTTTTTTTTATTCTTTTTTCCCCCGTTGCTGATCACGATTTGATTGCAGGGCAGATTGGCGGACACGAAGGTGCAGGCGAGGTTGTAGCACTCGGCCCAGGCGTGACGGCACCGGCTGTCGGCTCCTTCGTGGGCATCAAATTCGCCGCCGATGCGTGCCTGACATGTGGTACGGTCCCTTTTCCTCCCCTGAGGTGTTCTTGTGCCTCCCTGTGGTGTTCTTGTGCCGCCCTGCACTGCACTGCGCCCTGCACTGCACTGCACTGCATTGCACTGCACTGCATTGCACTGCTGCGGGCCTAGCCATGGCGGGAATAGTGGCGACGTAACGCTGACCCACAAAGACAACTGCATCGAGGGCGGCGATTCGACGTGCCAGCAGACGCAAATCTCGGGCTACACGGTGCCCGGGACGTTTCAGCGATTCTGCACGACCCCTGCACGCTACGCGACGCCGATCCCGAGCGGGCTGGACCTCGCGTCTGCCGCCCCGCTCATGTGCGGCGGCATCAGCGTCTACACGGCGCTCAGGACGGCGGGGCTTCGCGTGGGCGACTGGGTCGTCATCTCGGGCGCCGGCGGCGGACTGGGCCACCTGGGCGTGCAGTACGCCAAGGCGCTGGGGGCGCGCGTCGTGGCCGTGGACGCCGGCGTCAAGGAGGCGCTGTGTAGCGAGCTCGGCGCCGACGACTTTGTCGATTTCGCGGCGTTTGCGTCGGATGCCGACTTGGCGGCGCGCATCAAGGAGGTGACGGGCGGCGGCGCGCGCATCGCGCTCATGTGCTCGGCGAGCTCCAAGTCGTACGGGCAGTGCATGTCCTGGCTCGGGTTTCGGGGCACGGTCGCCTGTCTGGGGATCCCGGACAAGGAGGGCGCTCTGCTGCCCAGCATCGGCGACATGGTGACGTTCGAGCACCGCATCATCGGTAGGCCGTCGGGCATTCGTGAGGAAGGACGGATGGATGGGCTGACTGCGACATAGCGACCAAGACGGGCAACCGACTCGAGGCGAAGCAGTGTCTCGAGCTCGCAGCGCAGGGTCGTGTGAAGACGCGGTACACGCTGCGTCGCATGGAGAGTCTGACGAACGTGAGTCTGGGATTGATGATGATGATTGATGATTGATGATCGATGATCAATGATCGGTATGCATGCGAATCTGTGTCAGCTGACCACTTGGCGACAGATCTTTGAGGACCTCGAGAGTGGCAAGATTCAGGGTCGTGTCGTGCTCGACCTTCGGGGCGATTAGTGTTGATGTGCAGGTCGATTAGTGGGTTTTGGGTGCTGGATTGCATTGTATTTGCGAGTTTGAATGCACCACGAATGGATTGATGGTCCTTGCGAAACCCGTCGGTGATGTCTTGGAGCGTTAGCGATGTCTGGAAAGGCGTCAGCAAGGACAATGCCTTGAGGATGATGCCAGGATCGAGCACTGGAATCTGTCAGCATCCGTGGGTCGCTGGTGAGGGAGGAGCTCCCAAGCTACCCCGCATCAGCTACTTCCCCCGACGAGCTGCCAGCCTTATTCGGTCCATGATGCCGAGGTCCAAGGCTGACTCTCCATCTTCTGCGAACTACGGGGATATCAGCACAGCGACTTGCCTTGGAACAAAACCGTGACAGTTCGATAATCCATCTCCGGTCGGATCACGCAAGAAGTTCGTCGTCGCAGCTTCCTCGATCTCAACAACCATGGCCGCAGACGCAACATCCATCCCTGCGCCCCTCGCTGAGCCCTCGTGGCTTCGAGGCCTGCCCTCTCCCTACTTCAAAGACACGCATCGCAAATTCCACGTCGCCTGTCGCAAGTTCATCCAGGAGCATCTCCATCGCCACGCTCTGGAATGGGAAACCGCCGAGGACGTCCCCCCTCATGTCTTTGACCAGTTCGCCTCCGCCAAGTTCCTCCTCCCAGCTCTGCCTGCTCCCTTGCCTGCGCAGTGGCTGAAGAAGCTGGATATCACTCATTTGCCCGGAGACGTCCCTGTGGAGGAGTTCGATGCCCTTCACGGCTATGTCTATGCGGATGAGGTGAGCTATCCTGAAGAGGTTCAATCAGTCGATATGGCGTCGGACGCGCCCTAACAGTGTGCCCACCCAGATGAGCCGCGCCGGTCTAGCTGGTCCAGCTGGCGCCCTCACCACCGGCATCGCGTTTGGCGTACCTCCCTTGCTGCACTATGCCGATCCACAGCTCCAAGAGCGGTTTCTGCCCGATCTGCTCCTGGGCCGCAAGCGATCGTGTATTGCCATTACTGAGCCCGAGTGAGCGCGCCCGTCTGGCCCCCTTTTGAGCGCGTCAGTTGACCTAACACCTCCTCCAGAGCTGGCTCTGATGTCGCCAACATCACCACCACAGCCGAGCTCACCCCTGACGGCAAGCACTATGTCATCAACGGCTCCAAGAAGTGGATCACAAACGCCTTCTGGGCCGACGTTGCCACCATGGCTGTCCGCACGGGCGGTGAGGGGTCCGGCCCCGCCGGCATCTCCCTCCTCGTCGTGCCCCTCAAGGATCAGCCCGGCGTCAGCCGCCGCCGTCTCAAGGTCGCCGGCCAGGTCTCGGCCGGCACGACCTACATTGAGCTCGACGACGTCAAGGTGCCTCGCGAGAACCTCATCGGCGTCGAGGGCCACGGCATGAAGTACATCATGAACAACTTCAACCACGAGCGCCTGTTCATCTCCGTCGGCGTGACAAGGCAATCCCGCGTCGCCCTCGCCTCGGCGTTTGCCTACTGCATGAAACGCGAGGCGTTCGGCAAGACGCTGATCGAGCAGCCCGTCGTGAGACACCGACTCGCCAAGTGCGCCGCCCTGCTCGAGGCCCAGCAGGCCTGGGTCGAGAGCTTTGTTTACCAGCTCGCTCACTTGACCAAGACGGAGGCGGACGCTCAGCTCGGCGGTCTGACGGCCCTATGCAAGGCAAATGCAGGCATCGTGTTTGATGAATGTGCTCGATGTGCCGTCCTCCTCTTTGGCGGCAACGGCTACACACGATCAGGACAGGGCGAGCTTGTCGAGAGTAAGACCGCCCCCTCCCCTCTCTATGTCTTATACTGGTCAATATTTACTGATTGTCGCCGCAGAGATCTATCGCGATGTTCCTGGAGCCAGAATCCCCGGAGGCAGTGAGGATGTCATGTTTGACTTGGCAGTCAGGCAATTGGTCAAGACGTTCAGGGCTGGAAAGGCATCACCGCCCAAGTTGTAATCATACCATGTTTAGTCGAATGGTGTACGTAGCATAGGATCACCAGTTAGCCTCACATTCAAGTTGTATATTGTGCCGTGTAACGCGAGATAGACTTCCCCATACTCCTGCAGGGATGAACCACTCCGGACCGTTGCGTGTCACGCCACGTGCGGCTCCTCAGCTCCTCTGGCATGGCTGACTCGTCGACTCCCCCGCGTCTCCATAATCTTCTTCATCGTGGACCCCTCGTTTCGGCAAAACAAAACAGCACCATTCATAAACCCGCGGCTATAGCACGACACTGGGGTCCAAGATGCGGGGAACGTGGGGTAGTTAAAGCCGGGGTACTTTGAGGCTGTATCTGGCGTTGCATCGAACCCTTGGACCGCCCGTGGCCCGCGTAGACGGCGACGTCAGAAAGTCTGACTCGTCCATTCTTGTTCCAACGACAGGACAACCAGCAGGTTCGCAAGAATCCGAGTCAGAAACCACACGCAGAACGCAAGAGGTGATGATCAGGCTGGTAATCATGTAACATCGTGGAATCTGAATGTAGTATATCTCTGGATGGCCGGCCTCACAGCCGAAGGTGTAGAAAGACTGGTGCTTCATCTCTGGCGCCAGGAAACCACATCGTTCGTTGCAACATGGTGTCACTTGCGCAGTTCATATCGTCCACGGGCGGCGTGCAACGCAACGCCGTGCCGTTCGTGTTTGGTGCGCTGGCTCACCTCTTTTGTTTCCGCGTCGGCGACTGGGATCTTCAGACGACGAAGCTGCTCGTCGCCTTTCTGGCCACGCAGGGGCTGCTCGCGGTGTACATAGTCAAAGCCGACGTGGACGGCCTTGCCACGGCGTGGCAGTCGTGGAAGCTTGCAGCGCAGCTCTCGTTTTCCTTCCTCGCGGGCCTGTACGCCAGTCTCTTGACGTACCGCGCGGCGTTTCATCGACTGAACCGCTTCCCCGGCCCATTTGCCGCCAGGTTGTCGAACTTTTACATTACTCGGCGCTCTGTGAAGAACTTTCAGCTGTTCCAGGAAGTGCAGGATCTGCACAAGCAGTATGGAGATATCGTCCGAATCGGTGGGTGTCTTCCACCAGGATTTGGCTGAAGAGAAGATTGTTAACACGATAGCACAGGTCCCTCTGAACTGTCCATCGCAGACCCCTCGTTTTTCCACCACATCCATGCAAACTCGTCGCCGTTTGTCAAGGGGCCATGGTACAACATTCTCCATCCCGTCGTCTCGCTCCAGCTCGTGCGCGACAAGAAGGAGCACAGCCGACGCCGCAAGACCTGGGACAAGGGCTTTGGTTCCAAGGGTGAGTGCATCCACAGTCATGTTTGCCTGTCCACAGAAAAGCTAACATGTCTTCAGCGCTCCATGATTACGAACCCCGCGTTGTCAAGTACACGGATCAACTGCTCAGCCAGATCAAGCAGACGGAAGGCAAGCCCATTAACGTGTCGACGTGGTTCAACTTTTACAGCTTCGACGTCATGGGCGATCTCGCCTTCGGCCGCAGCTTCAACATGATGAAGGACGGCATCGTGCACTACTACATGCAGGCCGTGCACACCAGTATGCAGGCCGTCGCTGCGTTCAGTCACCTCGTGTGGATCTTCCCGCTCTTCAAGGAGATTCCCGGCCTGAACCACGAGCACCTCAAGTTTCAAGCGTGGCTTCACCAGCACGTCAAACAGAGGCGGGAGAACAAGCCGGAGATTCCGGATGCTTTCTCTGGGATCTTAAACGACTACGAGACTCTCGAGAAGCCGACGAAGCAGGACATGGTCAACCTCGTCGGCGATGCGCACCTCATCGTCGTCGCCGGAAGGTAAGACACGGCCCCTCTCAGCCCCCTATCCCGTGCCATGTCACGTCAAGCCTATGCAGCCGCTTACGCGACCCCGCAGCGACACGACAGCCGCCTCCCTCACCTGCCTCTTCTACAACCTGGCGCGCAACCCGCAGGTGACGGCCCAGCTGCAGGCGGACCTCGACGCGTACCACGCCGAGCACGCGCAGGCCGACCACCTGTCGCTCTCGAAGCTCCCGTACCTCCAGGCGTGCATCGACGAGTCGCTGCGGCTGTACCCGCCCGTGCCGTCGGGCGTGCAGCGCATGAGCCCGCCCGAGGGCCAGCAGGTCGGCGACGTCTTCATCCCCGCCAACACGGTCGTGCAGGTCCCTTCGTACACGCTGAACCGCGACGCGCGCGTCTTTGCGCGGCCCGACGAGTTTGTGCCCGAGCGCTGGACGACGGCGCCGGAGCTGACCAAGGATGCTTCGGTGTTTGCGCCTTTTTCTGTCGGTACGTCTGTCTGTCCTTGAATTTTTTTTTTCTTCTCTTCTTTATTATTCGTTTTTTTTCCGTCTTTGTACTCGTCTTCAATTCTTTTTTTTTTTTTTTTTTTTTATGTTCTGGGGCTACTTCAAGTTCATCTTCAAGATTCAGAAAACGTACTAATGGTTGCTTGATAGGCCGATACTCGTGCGTGGGCAAGCAGCTGGGCCTCATGGAGCTAAGGTTTGTCACGAGTCAGATCCTGCGCACGTACGATGTGGGCTTTGCGAAGGATTTCGATCCCAGCACGTTTCCCGCTGGACTGCAGGACACGTTCACGCTGGCGACATCCAAGCTATACTTGGTGTTCACGCGAAGAAAGGAGGTGGCGAACCCCTGAGTAGTGGGAGTGCTGGCTAGCTGCCGTCGCATCGTAGTCTCGATCCAGGGTGCAAGCCGCCAGGAGAGACATGGTAGGGCCGTTGGCTTGGTAGGGCGCAAGGCAGTGGTGGTGGTGGTGGTGCAGGCGGTGGTGGTGGGTAGGGTTTCATTAGTTCATGGCCAATTTGGATTTAGTTTTTCTGATGCACCATCATCTTTACGGAAACATGCATGCAGAAGCAGCAGCAGCAGTAGCAGTGAGATCGACATCATCATGAACATCACATTTCTTTTGCGTGTTGCTTCTCCAGTCGCTCGGTGTCGTTGGTGTCGTCGGTGGTCCGAAATCCATGAACAGCTGAAGCCAAGCTGAGGTGCGATGGTCGGCGCTTGGACGGATGCGGTTAGCAGCGTGGCCGGTAGTGCCCCTGTAGCTTCCCCGCGTTAACCAGTGGGGACCACTGCGCGTCTCTTGGTGCTTAGGCCTTAGGTCTTGGGTCGTGGGACGAGGTGCACCGTGAATGCCGATGCGTAGTGGGATCGTTAGGGATGCTGGGTACCTGCTGAGGTACCTATCTAGGTAAGGTAGATACATGTAGGTAGTAGGCAGCCAGGTAGGTACATGTGGGTAGTAGCAGCCAGGTAGGTACGTGTAGGTAGAGCAGCCAGGTAGGTACATGTAGGTAGAAGCAGCAAGGTAGCAGACAAGGCAGACAAGGGCAGGCGCTAGGCACGCCCGGGTAGGCACTACGCAGGCATCCCATGGGTCGCTGCTACCCCAACGCGTCGTTTTTATCGACCGGCACCAGCACCTCCCTTGGCTCATTCCGCCCTGGAGCTTACCTACCAACTCCTCATCTCCAAAACCTCCATTCCCACTCGTCCATCCCACTTGTCCACTTTATCCACAGAAACATGCCTGCCGTCCAACGTCGTCACACATGAGGACGGCCATCTACATCGACCGCGACTGACTTCTTCCCTTTTCAGCCGGTCCCGTCATCCGTAAAATGGCGCCTCCACCCGCGCAAGCGGCCGGCGAGCCCAATGGCAACGGCGCACCCGTGGACAAGGCCACGGCTCGCCGCCAGAAGAAGCGAGAGCAGGATCGCAAGGCCCAGCGCGTCGCACGCGAGCGAAAGAACAACCGCATCGCTCATCTCGAGGCCCTCGTCGACCGTCTGAGCCAGGACAATGCCGACTCGGAGGTGCCCGTCCTGATGGACCGTCTGGCCACCGTCACCAAGCAATCCCATTCTCTGCTCGAGGTCCTGCGTTCGCTCGAGTCCACCATCCACCGCCACATTGAGCAGGCCACCGTCACGTCCCCTAAGGTGCTACCTGCGCCCAGTGAGACGGGCATGGACGTCGAAACCTCGAGCAGCAACGGCAGCGCCAAGGGTCACGCCCCACATCGAGCGTCGGAACCCGGACCGCCAAGCGTGCCTACGCCCGGCGCTCCGTGGGCGTCATCACCGGAGAATGATCATCAACTCGGGGACGACATGTCGGCGCCTCCCGGATCGAACCCGTGGGATTCGTTTGCGGGTCCCTATTATGATGTTCCGTTCGATGACGTTTCGCAATACCGCCCACCCATCCCCGAGCTTGTCCCGTCGGAACCAGACACTGCCAGCACCACGGCCGACGTTATTGTTCCCTTGCCGCCGACGACCGACTGTCCGTGTCTGATAGGATCCCACCAGCCGCTTGGCACGCGGCGGCCACCAGGCTTCAACACCTGGCGAGCCGCCAATGAGGCCCTCGGCAAGGCGTCCACGCCACTACGTCCAGAGGACGCTGTTCGCGAGGACAGCACGAGCCACGACACGCCGATCCGCGCCGTCTTGGAAGGCTGGGACAGTGTGGAAGCCGCCGGCTTGATGACAGACAGCTGGCGGAAACTAAGACTGGTTGATGAAATTTGCTTTATCAAGTGCGGCAAAATCGAACGGGTGGCCATCCTGCGCATGATGCACCTCATGATGACCTACCACGGAGATCCCACGCCCGGAAGACTCTCTTCCCTGCCTCGGTGGTTTTGGATGAGGTAAGTGTGCCCCCGAATGGGACAAGCACCTCAGGAACGCCGACTGACGCGCCCACCCACCCAGACCTTCACAAGCCTTGGCCCACTCATATGCCATTGACTATTTTGTTTGGTATGTTGCTCTGCTATTCGCGTTGTGCCCAAGGCGTCTCTGACAAAGGTGACCACAGGCCTGGTGTCCGGGAGCGCTTCGTCTTCTCCCAGCACCGCTACTGTACCAACCTCTTCTGGCAGCTCTTCCAGAGCAACTTCAAAGTCACTTGGCAGTACGGGTTCCGCGACTGCTACATGCGAGATCGTCTCACTGGCAAGTTTTCATTGTCGCCCATGTTCGAGCAGACCATAAGCAACATCAGAGCCTGGACCATGGATACCGACTTCTTCACCCACTTCCCCGAGCTCTGCCAAGACATCCCAAGGGTCGAGGGTCTGCCGATCGCGGTAGGGTCCGCCCGCAAGGATGCCCAGCAGGTCTGGGAAGAGACACAACACCATGCTGTCGTGCGGGCCGCTCGCCCCTTTGTCGGCCCTATGCTGGTATCCGACGTGTCTAATGACCAGGTGGATGGTGCAGGATTGTACGACGGAGCACCTTTAACGTTTGCACTCCACACTAGGTGATCTTCAGGGTAGGTCAATGCGGAGAGGAGCCCGGCAGTGCGAGATCTGCCATCCGGAAATACCCCTTCCGCCAGATCGCGAAACAATGCTTAATGTAGGACTTGTGGGTCCATGGAATGTATTGGTATGCGGAATGTCAGGGTCTCTTGGCTCGACCCCAAATCTATGGTTGACCCTTGTGCATTCCTCAACACAAATGGGATCGTCGGTCAAATCTAAGCTAAGCAGAGATCTGGCATTCCGCACCGCGAGCAAACCCCTCCATGAAGCACCACACAGAGGTCCATGCATTTGCCTATCGACTTCATCTACGGGACGACGCGCGAAACACCATGAGTGAGGGGTTCGTGATGGACCGGCCGAGAGACACGCCGATGAGGTGCTCACAATCCAGGGACCTAGACCACGATTCTTTGGGTTCAGACTGGACATATCAACGCCGTATGCGTCTGCAACAACACTCTTGTGAGCTATAAAGAAAGGTGGTTCTGGCCTCCATCTGCAGGACACTCACCTCATCATCACAACATCTTTCCTCACTGCACCTCTCGCTTCGGATCACTCACTACAATCGTTTCAAACGACCATTCACTCTTTTCACCAAAGCACCTCAAATACCAAACCTCCCAACCATCAACATGAAGGCCTCCACTACCATCCTCGCCCTCAGCGCCCTTGTGGCCTCCACCTCGGCCAAACCCATCAGCAGGATGATCAGCGTCAAGATGCCCGCCGGCACCATGGCCAACAAGATGACCTCTGACTCCATGGTGCGCCGCGAGGCCGAGATGGGTGCTGCCGCCACCACTCCCGCCGTCCCTGAGACCCCTGCCGCCGCCCCCGCCCCTGAGGCTGTCCTTGAGTCTGCCAAGATCAACGAGAACCCCAGCCCAGCCCAGAAGGACGAGGCCAAGGTCGCTCTCGACAAGCTCGAGGAAGTCAAGGGCACCGTCAGCGACGCCAAGGGCAAGATCCACGCCGTCATGGAGATGGAGGGCGATGTCGATATGGACGCTCTCAAGACCATCGTCAACGACGTCAACATGAAGATTGTCGACATTGGCAGCATTGGTGGCATTCTGGGCGGCAACGCCGGTATCGACCCCATTTCTGCCGCCACGGGCCTTGCTACCGATGTCGTCAATGGCGTCGGCGGTCTCCTCTCCAACATCTTTGGCGGTGGCCGCCGCCGTGTCCCTACCAGCGCGTCTGGCTCTATCGGCATCGACGGCCTTCTTGGCTCCGTCGATGGCCTCCTCGGCGGAGGCACTGGCCTCAGTGGAGGACTCCGTGGCGCTGCCTCCGGCGCTGGCAGCGCTGCTGGTAACGTGGGCGGCGGCCTCGGCCTCGGCTTCGGTGGCAAGCCTCCCGGCCGCAACGGCGGTCTCATCGGACTCGCCAACGGACTCACTGGAGGTATTACTGAGGGCATCCGCGGCATTGCCAACGACCTCACCGGCGGCCTGAGCGAGACCGCTCTCGATATCGCTGACGGCTTCACTGGTGGACTCGTCCGGGGTAACGACCGCGGCCAGGCCGGTGCCTCGGGTTCCCTTACCGGAACCATTGGTCGTCTCCCCGGCGGCCTGACTGGTGGCCTGACTGGCAACCTGGGAGGTCTCACTGGCAGCATTGGCGGTAACATTGGCGGCGCTGCTGGCGGTGCCGGCGGTCCTGCTACCGGCGCTGCTGGACAGACCGGAAACTCGAACGGCGGCGACAAGACTGGTTCTCAGCCCGGCAAGACGGGCTCTCAGCCGGGCCGCCCGCGCAAGGAGACCTTCAACCTCAGCGGACTCGAGGGCTTTGATCTTGAGGCCCTCGGCTTCGGCGATGTTGATGTCAACAACCTGACTGAGGCTGAGCTGCGCGAGATCAACGAGGTCCTTGACCTCGGCATCGATGTCGATGCTCTCGTCGCCAGCATCCGCAACTAGGCGAAAAAAGAAACTACTATGAAAGGGGGGTTGGGATTTGGCATGTGGATGTTCTCCAGATTGAAGTTTTTGTAAAAGCACAGCGGGGGACGCCCCAGAATACTGTTTGCTCCCGGCTTTTAGGGTTTCATACGGATCGGGTTCTAGCGAAACATTAGCAAAATATCATTACCTCTTCTTTCTCACTGCTTGACGCTGTACTGGTCTTTGGTTCTATCTTGTCGTGACGGTCATTCACCCACTCGCATTCGTGCTAATCAGATGGTGATTTAGGCACCGACTCTCAAAGAAACTACATTACTTCAGTCTAGTTCATCAATACTACGTTAAGAGACAGGAACCTTCTCCAAAGAAACGCAAGCCCAGCAGACGTGCAATTCCCAGCAAACGAACCAAGGAAAACATAGACATCCAATCATCACAGCACAAATCATTACTCAAACAGCACAGCCTCCGGCTCCCTCACGAGGCTCTCGACAATGGCCCCGACCTCGGCCAGCAGCTCCTTGGCGTGCTCGGCCCACGACTCGAACGTGATGACCTCGATCGTCAGCTTGTCGCCCTCGGGGAAGGCCTGGATCTTCCACTCGCGCAGCGGCTCCTCGTGCGGGTAAATGGTCTCCATGCGGCCGCTGACGCCGGCGAAGCCGAGGCTCTCGACGTGCTCGACGTCCTGGTGCACGACCGAGTCGAACCAGTCGACGCTCGCGGGCCAGTCGGTGCACCGGCGCACGACCTCGGGCAGGCCGACGCCCTCGTGCGCCGACGAGGCAATGTGCTGGCTCTGCACGTGGGCGAGGAGGTCGGCGGCCGTCCAGCCGGCGGCGAACTGCACGCGCAGCGGCACGTACTGCCAGCAGGGGCCGACGACGGCGTCGGCGTTGGGGAAGTCGATGGTGCGCCCGCTGACGACCTCGCCAAAGGTGACGTCGCGCGTCGCCAGCCGCCGCGCGAGGCAGAGCGCCCAGGCCGCCGTCGGCAGCGTGGCGACCGTCATGTCCTTGGAGCGCGCCGAAATGTCAAACTGCCTGTGCACCGCAAAGTGGTTGCGCCGGACGACGGGCGTGTCGGGCTTGAGCACGGAGAGGGACGAGCCCTTGAGGAGGTCGCGCCAGTAGTCGAGGCCCTTGGGTATGTTCGACTTGACGACGTGGCCGACGTACGACGAGAACGGGAGGCTGCTCGGGACGGGCTTGCCCTCGTGCAGCGCCGACAGCTGCTGCAGCATGACGGGCAGGCAAATCTCGTCGTACTGCGCGTGCGAGACGCGGAAGATGAGCGCCGACGGGCCGCTGCTGCTCTGGACGAAGAACCACTTGACAAAGCACGAGCCGAGCGGCATCCTCGTGTAGCTGTCCATGGTGCAGAGCTGCCTGACGAAGGGCTCGACGTCTCCGTCAATCTCGTACTCGGCCACCGGCGTTTCAATGTGCTCCAGCACCACGCCCAGATACGACTCCTTGTGGGCGATGAAGACGGTGCGCAAGATCTCGTTGCGCGTGACAAGCTCTTGGCAGCTCTGGTATAGCTGCGCCTTGTTGACGTCGCCGTCAAAGTACATGGCCTCGTATCTCGCCGAGAAGCGAGGCAGCTGGATGGTGCCCTTGATGGCAGCATCCTGCAGCGGCCTCGTGGGCAACACGTCGATGACGTTCCACGAGTTGTCCGCCAGTGCGGGACGAACCGTGTTGACGAGGAACTTGGTGGCTTGCGCCTCCTCGACGAGCTCAAAGGGTTCCAGGGGCTCCACGGCCTCCTTGTTCTGCGTGGGCTCCGAGTCCTCGAGGACACTGGCCATGTCAAACAGGGTTCTGTTCTTGAATACCTGAGCGACTGTCAGGCGCAGATTGTCCGCGCGAGCCTCGGACACGAGCTTCATGGCCGAGATCGAATCACCACCGAGCCTGAAGAAGCTGTCGTTGAGACCGATGTCCTCCTCGGTCAACCTCAATACACGGCTCCAGAGCGTACGCAGGCGTCGCTGCTTCGCCGAAGTCGCCGAGATCTTCTTGACAGGGCGACTGGGGGCCGCGCTCTTGGCGGCAGCGCTCTTCTTCTCTGTGATCTGAACGGAGCCGTCGGCGCTGAGCTTGGCGAGCTTACCGGTCTTGAAGAACTTGGCAGCCCTCTGCTCGTCCGCGTGGCCGTTGACAACATCTAGCCAGAGGGGTTCGTCCATGGTCGGGAGAGAAAGATCCGCTGTGCTCACGACGACGAGCTCTCCAAGTGCCTCGAGAGGCGCCAGGCGCGTGCATTCCTGCGGGTCGACGATCCAGACCGCCCGAGTCTCGGGGTACTTGTCCTGCACGCTCTGCGGGTTCTTGATGCTCGCGCGCCAGAGGTCAACCTGGTCGTCGTTTGTGAGGTAGCGCAAGTCCCGGATAGGAGCGTCCGTCATCTCGCAGAGCTGGGTCGCGACACGGGCGAACTGGTCCAGGGCCCGCTCCATCAGGGACTTCTCCACCGTGTTGGAGTCGAAGCTGGCCATGACCGAGAAGCCCTTGGAGTCGAGGGCGCAGACGAGCATGAGCGCATACGTGTTGAATTTCAAGGCCTCCTGTGCGGCCTCCGAGTCGCCGGCGGGCACGAGCCTGTCGGCAGGGTAGACCGCCGTATTGGGTTGCGCTTCGCCCTCGGCACTGGGATGCAGAACAAGGCCTGTCCGCAGTTCGCAGGCCTCGTAGGCGTCGGGGCTGAGACGGCGAATGTGTTGCAGGCCCGTGTGCTCGTAGGGAATCTGCTGGGCAGTCAAGTCTTGGATCTCCTGGATGTACTCTGTGACACTGCTCTCGTCGTGGATCTGGACACGGAACGGAATGGTGGTGATCATGGGGCCTTCAATCTCTTCGGCGCCCCTGAGGGCAGCATTGCGCCCCGTGAGCGTCTCGCCAAAGACGACGTCCGTTGTTGCGCTGTACCGCGAGGCAACATAGGCCCACGCGCCACGAATGACAGTCGCCACTGTCGTGTTGGACGCCGGTCGACCAGACAGCGGTACGTGGATCTCAAGAAGGGAGTCCGCCTGCGTCTGGTAGCCTTCATATGGCAGAGCAGGGAACTGAG